GTGTTAAGTAGTGGGGAGGGTAGGGGGAGAAAGTGTTAGGTAGGGGGAGGGGGAGAAAGTGTGTAAAGTAGGCAGGGATTGTACAGAGCAGATTTGTACCTGTGTTAAAAAGGGTCAGCGGATGCACCCAATGTAAGCGAAGTTGAGATGAATTTACAGCTGACATTGTGTAGACAATACTGACTGAAGGTCTAACCCTTGTTCTGATATCTAACATGGGGACGGGAAATAGTAATTATTGTTTTTTATTATTTTCTGATCTCTTGCAATTATTGATGATCAGTTAATGTTTTGTATACATGTTGCGATGGTTTTATATAAGTTTGTCATTTATTGTCTTGTACATGTGTATAACACGAGAGAAATTTCATCTTTGATTCATTGTCATTAAATCATGAAAATCTTTTATCTCAGTGTAAGTTCTTGAGTTATATAATATAGTCAATATCTAGAGGGTTTTGAAGTGCTATCAATGTGTAAAGTACAGACTTATTCTTTTTCCATTGATTAGCATCTTTTGACAGTTCCATGATGAAATCTAGTATTATTTGGCATTGTATTAAGGAAATTTTTGTATTTTTAAACTGCACATCAAAGTGTGCACACTTCCAGATGAAGGTAAACAGTAATCCCAGTGTGGGACAAGGAGGACGGTCCTTCAGATGAAACCGTATAAACCAAGGTCTCTTGCTCCATGAGGTGCTGGAAAGAAAAAATCCCTCATTGCTCAATGGCCCTGAGTGCCGAACTGGGTTAAAATTTGTATAGCTCTCCACTGGCAAGTGGTGGCTTTCCATATGATGGAAAATTCTCTAAAGGGACGTTAAACAACACACAATCAACCAGTCCTTGTTTCAACCATAAAATTTGAAAAATGATGACTTCAAACGAGACTGTTTCAAAGACTTGTTCAAACGTAGAGCATTCTTGTGTTTTGCAACAACTGCGAGGCATAAACTAAATGCTACATGTATGTATAAAAGAAGAAGTTGACGATTGAAAAGTTGATCTTGCCTCGTTTTTTGTAAAGTTTTGTGTGTACTTTCATTCTTAAGAAAAAGTTGAGAGAGTATTTTAATTCCCTGATTAATTTTATGTCCAAATCTTACATGAAAAATGGGGATAACGAGCAGTTTCCAAGCTCTTGAACCATAATGAATTAAAATAAAAATACGAATCAGATACACAGAGCAAACACGGACCATGGATTTGAAAAATGATGACTACAAACGAGGCTGTTTCATAACTTGCCATGGAGGATTGAACATCCTCTGGAATTTTCTATTCCAAGCTTTAGTTATTTACCTCTACCAAGCTTAAAGTCATTTACCTCTACCAAGCTGAAGTCATTTACCTCTACCAAGCTGAAGTCATTTACCTCTACCAAGCTGAAGTCATTTACCTCTACCAAGCTGAAGTCATTTACCTCTACCAAGCTGAAGTCATTTACCTCTACCAAGCTGAAGTCATTTACCTCTACCAAGCTTGAGTCATTTACCTCTACCAAGCTTAAGTCATTTACCTCTACCAAGCTGAAGCCATTTACCTCTACCAAGCTGAAGTCATTTACCTCTACCAAGCTGAAGTCATTTACCTCTACCAAGCTTAAGTCATTTACCTCTACCAAGCTGAAGTCATTTACCTCTACCAAGCTGAAGTCATTTACATCTACCAAGCTGAAGTCATTTCCCTCTACCAAGCTTGAGTCATTTACCTCTACCAAGCTTAAGTCATTTACCTCTACCAAGCTTAAGTCATTACCTCTACCAAGCTTAAGTCATTTACCTCTACCAAGCTTAAGTCATTACCTCTACCAAGCTTAAGTCATTTACCTCTACCAAGCTTAAGTCATTTACCTCTACCAAGCTTAAGTCATTTCCCTTTACCAAGCTTAAGTCATTTAACTCTACCAAGCTTAAGTCATTACCTCTACCAAGCTTAAGTCATTTACCTCTACCAAGCTTAAGTCATTACCTCTACCAAGCTGAAGTCATTTACCTCTACCAAGCTTAAGTCATTTACCTCTACCAAGCTTAAGTCATTTACCTCTAACAAGCTGAAGTAATTTACCTCTACCAAGCTTAAGTCATTTACCTCTACCAAGCTGAAGTCATTTACCTCTACCAAGCTGAAGTCATTTACCTCTACCAAGCTTAAATCATTTACCTCTACCAAGCTTAAGTCATTACCTCTACCAAGCTTAAGTCATTTATCTCTACCAAGCTTAAGTCATTACCTCTACCAAGCTTAAATCATTTACCTCTACCAAGCTTAAGTCATTACCTCTACCAAGCTTAAGTCATTTATCTCTACCAAGCTTAAGTCATTACCTCTACCAAGCTTAAGTCATTTACCTTTACCAAGCTTAAGTCATTTACCTCTACCAAGCTTAAGTCATTACCTCTACCAAGCTTAAGTCATTTACCTCTACCAAGCTGAAGTCATTTACCTCTACCAAGCTGAAGTCATTTACCTCTACCAAGCTGAAGTCATTTACCTCTACCAAGCTGAAGTCATTTACCTCTACCAAGCTGAAGTCATTTACCTCTACCAAGCTGAAGTCATTTACCTCTACGAAGCCTCTCTTATTTTTTCGATCTCCCTTGTGCATCTGTCACTGCCTTGATTTTCCTTTGTTCATCAGAGTGATTTTCATCCAATGAAACATTTAAACAATAATGTAACGTAAGCGGGTTATGCAAATTTTTTCTGCAATAGCTGCTACCGTTCATTCCAGTAATAACAAACAAAGAAAGCATTTTATATTCATATCTGATTAGATAATCATTTAAAGTTTGAATAAAAAGGTTAATTATTGTATTAATGATGCAAATGTCTTAATACGTTTCATTGATGGAACAGCCACTGACTGTACTGGCAACATGCCTATAATGTAGTTCATGCAGTGATGAACGCAACAGAATTTCAGATCAAAAGTCCTTAAAACAATACATATATATATATATTTAATAGGAACAGAGAGAACATGGACCTCCAAAACATCACAGGTAGGATCAGGTGCGATGGAGGAGTGAGCATCCTCTGCCGACCGGTCACACCCGCCGTATGCTCCTTGTCATGATCAGGAAATAATGGGAAAATCCCTCGTCAATTAAGTGTCTAAATAATGGACTAACAATTAGTATGATAACGTGGTGGTAGACAGACTACTCGGCCCAACGACACCTCGGCCCGTGCTGGTTGACACCTCGGCCCTGACAGGTCGGCACAAAATCATTGACACCTCGGCCCATACCGAAGACTGCTCGGCCCAGTAGGAATAAAATAAAATTTAGTTTTTTTTTCAATAAATTATTATTATTTTTTTTTTGTATTTTCCCTGTTATGGTAATGTAAATGTATGATACTGTATACTTTGTATTTTTAATCTTAATTTTTAACTTATAATCAAGTTACTTATGGATCGTCTTTCTTTCATTACGGTCATTTTGCCGTCTTGGAAGATTGCAAATGTATCAAATTAATTTTCTTTTGCATTTCATAGATATATAACAACATAAATATTAAATAATAAATATATTTAATTAAAATAATATATTTCTGTTTGGACCGAGGTGTCTTTTATATGAGCCGAGGTGTCTTCCAATTTGGGCCGAGTCGTCGGAGCCGAGGTGTCAAAGGGCCGAGCAGTCGTTGGGCCGAGGTGTCGTTGGGCCGAGCAGTCTGACATTCGATAACGTCAGTCAGCATTTGACTCGATGATAAATTGTTTTTTGCTGACAAGATCATTGTATCGACCAAAGGACTTACGAAATGATGGCTTTAAACGAGTATGCTGATATTCTTGTTTCATCATCGTGTTTGTCAATAATTTACTTCGTTATTAAAAATTGTTCATACGTAGAGCATGCTCTTGCTTATCGAATCAACTACATAAACTTATGCAGGTGATGAAGGTATATTGCTGCATGAGTAAGGGAAGTTGATGATAGAAAAGTTTAAGTCATCAACTTTATCATAGAGCTTGGTTGTTTGGTTCAAGTAAAATATAAACAACACCGGTAGATATATATTGTCTACCAGACACTCAATCATCTTTTTGATGTCGACTTCGGAGTGTCTACATAACGAATTTATCCTGCCGATGGTTCTCAAAAAATTTAATAATATTCAATTAAACCGCTTTCACTGAACGTCCAAGCAAGACAGGTCTTCTACATCCGTTGTACGTTGTTGTCAGACGCATTGTGACGTCAGTTATGAAGCTCCATGCGGGCCACGTGAAAGCAGTATATTGATGACGTGTGGTTGGTAAATTTTTAATATACGGTGGGTAGGTCACGTGGAGGGGGCACATAAGAAATGTGAGGTGGGTAGACAGCATAACATCGTTTCATGCAGTATTGCTCTCGGCCAATGAAATTTCACGATTTTTATCAGAGGCAGGATAATATCCGCTATATCCCCCTCCCCATTTTGTGTCAATTTTTGGCGGTGTGGTTGTGGGCCCCTTGCACGATCCTAAATTGGTCGCGACCCTCCTTTTCAAGAGTCCCGGATCCGCCACTGGTAGTTACAAGTTTTAAAAAAATCTTTCATAACTGTTTGGTTGTCCTCTGCATGCCTACCGACTGACTAAAATGGCCCGACTCGTTGAACTTTTTTTAAATACATTTTAGGACACAATTATATATTTCTTTCATTCCTCTTATTCCACGGCAACTAAATTGAAATTTTCTGGAAAAAAGACCGGGTCCTGACATCGAAGTCAACTTGTTGATCGCCCAACAGCAACGTATTGACTTCTAAGGACCCTTAGCATCGCGATCGAGGATGAACTACCTATCATCGTCACAAACCACGGCCAAAATGTACGACCCTCTCCCATTCTAGTAGGAGAGAGCTATATGCGGACTCCTGACCGTAGCTTGAGACGATGACTACCTACCGACTCAATAATTTTTCCCAATGTCGGAAGAGGGGCAAATCAACTACTACCTCTATGGCTTTGCCGAATAAAACCAAAAAAAACAACAAAATTTATAAAGACGTATTTATTAACATTAAATATTGACTTCATTTTTACAGTTTTTATGACAGAGAGCAACATATAAGCTAGATATCACTAAAATCGTCTGTTTGTTTCTCTGGGTGAGCGTTCTGTTGCAATGGTTCTACTACAAGTGTAGGAAGGTCAACAATGGTGCAATGTTAGATATTGGTTTTTGCAAATATCACTATGTTGCAAAATGTTTTTGAAATATAAATACACAAAATATAAATATAACAAATATTTAGAAATAACTCTTTATAATGGCAATTAAAAAAACAATAAATAATATATTAAATATAAATGTTTCTTTTTGCAGTTATTGCAGATGACAAAATCTGATGAGTTGGAAACATTTTACAACTATTGTGCTTGTCTTGGAAGTGAGTGCTTCACCAAACACCTCTCTCCAATAGGCGTGCCTTCATTCGAAAACGGGATGCCACTGAAACAGAGAAAAGTTCCAGTGTCATCATCCTGACGCCATAACATGACGTCAAATATGACGTATTGTTATATCGAAATTTGAAAATCGAAAACAAGCGTCTAGCAAGAATTCTAATTTATAAATTTATTCAAACTTATAAATGTAATATCAGTTGCTTATTACTATATATGAAAAAAGATGAAATAATTTTCTTTGAAAATAAACGAATTTATAGACCGTTGTGCTTCTTAGTATGGAGTATACTTATTAGATTGCTTTCAAATTATTCAAAAATATATAAACATTATGGTTTTCATGCATTCATTAGTTCTTACAAATCCCATGCATTGATTTCATGCAATAATATAGGACCTTTGCATTCATTGATTTGAAAAAAGAATTACGGATGTTGAAATTTGCAAACAAAATCAGGAAATTTCATGCTGAAAAAAATAATCAGTTTCAACCACTATCATCTCCAACTTTGTTGTGAAAACACGTATTGCATGCTGTGAATGAACAGACAGAAAACAAACAAAAAATCACATCAGAAAATATTAAATAGTTCAGTCTTCATTATAATTTTTAGCTGCTCAGTTAAGTATCTATACATCTAATATTTCTCGATGTGATTTTCTTTCAAGAACAAAACAAAATGATATCTAAAAGAGGAAACAACAGAAATATTTTTCGGGAAGAAAGCAGCACACAATTAACTAAGCGCATGCATTAATTTTTTGGCATCCTGCCAAGCTATACCCAAATCTTCCGCCACCAAAAGCTAGCACACGTAATTGGGGGCAGGAATAAGCGCCTCTCCGGGCACCCCCAACCAGCGTCCGTAAGCTCCTAGCGCCTTCCTCAAGCCCACTGTCAATTAACGACACATTAAAGTCAACATTAAAAAAATCTCAGACGGAATGCCAGCTTATTTGTTGCAGTCTGTCCTAACAAGTCATGAAATAAATTTTTATCACAGCATTTAGGTATAATTTGTTTGTGTGCCGCTCGCAACATTTGGCGGATCTTGGTTTGATTACCAAAAAAGTCTATTCATGGTTTTTTATGTCTTCTACTGCCCACACTGAAAATAAAGGGTAATATAAAGTAAAAAAAAAATCTTTAAAATTCGTATATAAGAAGAAATTTAGAGGGAAAAAGGTAACATGTCATTGTCAAGGAATTTACATACATGCCAAAATATGGCCGAACCTTCGAAAAAATAAGTAGCATTTCAAAATAAACATGACTATATTTTGATGATGGTATATCAAATGAAAATATTTGCTGGAAATTATAAGCCCTACTCTAAGTAAACCATTAACTTGGTTGTGTTACTTTATCAGACTACAATCAAAACTCTAAGTAGATAAAAGCGTTGTGTGGCATCAAAGAAGCTAACTAGCTACATGTACATGTATATATAAAACAGGTTCATGCACGTTTTTGACATGTATGTGAAATTACAAGACATAAAAATGTAGAGAATCCTTAAAAACGCGAGTTATCATTAGAAAATGTTACTTCTGCAAAATTCATAAGATCGAAATAGCTTCAAAATATTTTTTCATTGAATTCCAACATTAGAATCTCCTATTCTATTTTCCGTTCAGCGATGATATGACGCTTTTTCCCATTTTCTAATGATTGTCACGTGATCCAGTGAGCGTGTGCGGTAAAAACACGTGATGGTCACCATGGTTACCTCATTCCGTCAGATGTTCTGATACAGATTGGTCCATATCAGGAATGTATTCTGTAGAAAGTGACCACAGGTAAAACTATATAGTGTCACATGGGTTTACAAGGGAAGTCATTGTATTGGGTATAATGATGAATAAAACTGACGATTAGAATCCATAGGTATCCAATGATACTGTGCAAAAACTGTACACGGTGGTACTTTTTTCGGAATACAAGACAAATTATTCATGCTGACAGTTAGACCATCAAATTTACCTTACTCGCTCTCTAGTTCCTCGGTAAAACTCGATTCAAAGTCGTTTACATAGCCTAAGATAAATTTTAATCAATTGCTATTGAAGAACATCTTGATGGTTTTATAAATATTCAAAACAGAACGCATTTTGTTAACATTATTGTTAGTGATTCTATAAGCATTTAGGATTGGTTATTCCCCCTTTTTCAAAACACATAAACCCTAACTGGCATCCTGTCTGATATTCATGTACAAGACGAGATTTGACGAGATTTACCGAGACTGTGCTGCTGCTAACGATATTGTCCCAAAGCGTGTCATCCATGTTATAGTCTCGAGGTAAATAGCGAATATAAACTGGATTGGAGGAAAATGAAAGAAAAAATGGTTTCCAAATATTTTTGTATTTTGAAATTTCATAACAGCATATAATTTTAAAAGATTCACAAAAAATTATCTCAATGAATACCAAATTTCCCTGGTATTACAAAGAACTTCAACTTATTGATTAAAAAAAACACCCTTTGTATTTCGCAGTGTTCATAAACAAATGTACGAAGGACAAAAGTTATAATCTAAATCAGAAAACATTATTATCAGGAAAGAAGTTATGTTACCCGGTTTTGTAAATATACCCATTGTGCAGCAGTGAATATAAACAAAGATATTCTAAATTTTGATGTTAACTAATAGAAGATAAACTGTGGGAAATTCTATATGCTAAAGAATGAATATAGCTAAAATGTTGAAAAATTAAAAAGAGAATACACAGAGAGATCTACGAGGAATCTAGATTAAATGGCGTCTAAGTGGTTTAGATAAGTAGGTTTACATGTAGATATAATTAGTCTAATTTACTACCTGACGGTTTCTAGTAATAGACACTCAGCTCCAAGCCTGTGTAGGAAAGGGTCACCAAAAGTATAGCTAACTATCAAGTTTCATGCAATTCCTTTCAGTAAACTAAACTTCATTTGCATGTGCAAAATATAATTGGTGTAATCTGAGGTTGTCACTTAAAATGAAATAACTAATCTAAGTTAATGAGTTCAAAATATTATTAACATAAAAAAGGGTGCAGTAATTTAGGTGTGGCTTTTAAACAATGGTTAAATAAAATAATTATTTACGTGACATATAAGGTAATGGTGATGAATTAAGAGGACCATGAGATTTGATGGTCACCTGAGTATGCATGTTTTCTCAGTTTAGGGAGAGATATCATAGGAACTTTGGACTTGTGTGCATGAAACTTCTTGTATGAAACTTGAAATTTTGTAAATGACATTGCATTTGGTATTAATTATATGGTTTTACTGCAAAGGGCTTTTTCTGGCAATCCTTGTTTCATCACAAAATATATTAATTGCATTTGCATTTGGGAAAATAATATTTAACTATCACCGGCAAACGGTGTTCATGTCTCCGAACTCAAGACTGAGCTTTCTCTGCGTACAATCAATGTTTCAACAGAGATCGGCTACAGACAAAAGGGTTGAAGTGACAGGAATTTCATAACCTTCGTTTAGCATTTTGATATGACAGGAATTTTATACACCTTTCATTGTATTATTTTATACCAATGTTAACTCTTTTATTTTATGCTATGTAAGATCACTACATAGGGCTCACGGCGAGTGGCACTGGTCGACAGGAGAAACTTACCGGGCCACGATCCGTAAAGACACAATATTGTTACAACAAGTTTATCTTTTAAAAAGATAGGTGAGCTAGCGCCGTAGCAATTTTTAAACACAGAAAGGAAGATCCGTGATCAAGTGATTTATTTTGCCGACTTTAATTTTTATCGAGGCTTGATAAAGTTATTATTATTTTGTGAAGCGTATTTTATAGACACATAGGTAAAGAAACAAGGGGGGGGGGGCTATTGGAGTTTTGGTGCAACGGAACACATATGACCTTTACTGCAGAGGGGGGGGGGGGGGGGGGGGGACTTCATATAATTGTAAGATGGCGTTTTTTTGAGCTGATTTAAAGAAGAGAATTTAAATTTTTTACATGGGAGTTGAAAGGAATATAGAAAATAACTCATTTAGTGTATGTTGTGTAAAGAGTCAGAGAGTTTGGAACTCTTTTTTGGGTCATCTTTGTCTAGGTTAAAAGCCATACACATCAGATTTTTTTAAACACAAATAGTGGATTTATTCGTTATTTTTAGTGTAAATTCTTGGTTTCAATTTGTAATATTGGCTGAACTGACCAATCGGAAATTAGAATCTATATTTGGTTGTGCTTAGATTAAAAAAAAAACTCCCTTGACATTAATTGTTTAGAACAATCAGATAGTGACTCGGGCTTTCCCATCAACAAAAAAAAAAACCAGAATTTAAAATATTATAAATATGAAGTTATCTTTAAAGTGTAAGCTACACAATAAATGAACAGTATTTCATGCTACAACATGATACAGCGAAATTGTTATCGTACGGTCTATCTGTAGTAGTTTTCACAGTTTTCCCAGAATGCACCACCATGGCGGCCGAGCATGCGTATTCAAGGAATTTGACCTAAAGAGCGCTAATAATATGTCAGAGACCTAAAATTAATTCTTTTCTCTACCCTTAGCCCTGAACCTAAATGCGTTATTTAACGAAATTCGAGAAGAGGGAGGAAATGGTAGTGATGATTTTGGTCCCCATTCCCAGGTCGATCGTGACTATGAACTTCTCTATTTTTATAATCACAGGCCAACATTGGTAGCAATCAACTTGAAATTCATTTTAAGAGAAGACATTTAAATATTTCAAAGTAAACGATATATGATGCACACAGAATAACGAAATGCCGACACACGAGAACAGATAGCAATAGGTCATCGGAGAAAATCAATTAACCAAAAATCTCAAATAATGTACATGTAAAATTTGATTTCTGTAAATATAACTTTTTTTCTATTCTTACTGTTCTTTATATGATTTTCCGTCAATATTTTGAATAGTTTTATAAACTTTTGTTCAAATTCTCTATAAAATAAAATTATAATTAAATAATTTGTTTTTCCATTCATCTTCTCTTGAAAAAGACATTACTGAGATGTTGATACTTACGATCCATGGGTTTGTTTTGTTCCTGATACCAGTACTTGAAGCCGTTCCTGGCGTGCTGGTTGTAGGTCGTGTTCAGTTTGTTTCTCTTCTTGGTTGACGGGATTCTATTTATTGTTTGGGGGACAGAGATTCGGGCAGGTTCGATTTGTCTTGGCAGTACTAAACGATTGTCCACTTGTTTCACTGTACCTGATGTTGTTCATTAAGTAGCAATCATTACTAACTTTCAAAAATGTCTCTTTAATTGCCGTCTGTAATCATCAATCATCATAATGTCAAAATGGTTTTGACACTTACCCTCAACAAAAGCCAAATGACTACCGGAACTAGCTGTACATGACGTAATGTGTCTCCATCTTCCTCCTGCTCTTCCCATTCTGTACATGTTACTATAAATAAAAGAAGAAAAAACATCCATAACCAAATCTGAGTATTGTTGTGATTGCTGTTTTAACGATTTAGTTTGCGTACATGTTGATCTTTAAGTGTACTGATTCATGTGATTGGTAATTATAAATATATAGAACAATACACTGTCTTGTGGTAGGGTTATGTACATGTACTTGTGAGTATCCGTTGTAATCACGAATTATTTTGCGTACATGTTGATCTTTATAAGTATTTTGTTTGGTAAAAATCTAGTGTCATTCAATACTGATTTATTATCAAAAAAAACTTTTTTGTTTCTATGACCGTGACTGTATATTTGCTTTCTACTGTTAGTGATTACTTAGTGCAAGAATGACAAAATAGGGGTGCAGAATTGCAAGTTTTGCATTTCTCCATGTAATACTTACGCATTATTAGGCGACATATTTTGCTTCCATATTCTGTTGTAATACTGTTTGTGATTAAAAACTTTCGCATTATTATATTTTGTAATTCAATTATCCAGTGTAATACTATTATTTAAAAAAAATTATCCAGTTAATACTTACGCATTATTAGGCCATATTTTGCTTCCATATTCTGTTGTAATACTGTTCAGTGATTATATTAATACTTACGCATTATTAACTTTTGCTTCCATATTCTGTGAATACTGTTCAGTTATTATCCAGTGTTATACTTATGCATTCTTTGGCGAGGTATTTTGCTTCCATATTCTGTTGTAATACTGTTTCGTGAGTATCCAGTGTAATACTTACGCATTATTAGGCGACACATTTTGCTTCCATATTCTGTTGTAATACTGTTTAGTGATTATCCAGTGTAATACTTACGCATTATTAGGCGACATATTTTGCTTCCATATTCTGTTGTAATACTGTTCAGTTATTATCCAGTGTAATACTTATGCATTATTTGGCGAAATATTTTGCTTCCATATTCTGTTGTAATACTGTACGCGTTGTTAATACTTACGGCGACATATTTTGCTTCCATATTCTGGTGTAATACTGTTTAGTGATTATCCAGTGTAATACTTACGCGTTATTAGGCGACATATTTTGCTTCCATATTCTATTGTAGTACTGTTTAGTGATTATCCAGTATAATACTTACGCGTTATTAGGCGACATATTCTGGTGTAGTACTGTTTAGTGATTATCCAGTGTAATACTTACGCGTTATTAGGCGATATATTCTGGTGTAGTACTGTTTAGTGATTATCCAGTGTAATACTTACGCGTTATTAGGCGACATATTTTGCTTCCATATTCTGTTGTAATACTGTTCAGTGATTATCCAGTGTAATACTTACGCATTATTAGGCGACACATTTTGCTTCCATATTCTGTTGTAATACTGTTTAGTGATTATCCAGTGTAATACTTACGCATTATTAGGCGATATATTCTGGTGTAGTACTGTTTAGTGATTATCCAGTGTAATACTTACGCGTTATTAGGCGACATATTTTGCTTCCATAGCCTGGTGTAGTACAGTTTAGTGATTATCCAGTGTAATACTTACGCGTTATTAGGCGATATATTCTGGTGTAGTACTGTTTAGTGATTATCCAGTGTAATACTTACGCATTATTAGGCGACATATTTTGCTTCCATATTCTGTTGTAATACTGTTTAGTGATTATCCAGTGTAATACTTACGCGTTATTAGGCGACATATTTTGCTTCCATATTCTGGTGTAGTACTGTTTAGTGATTATCCAGTGTAATACTTACGCGTTATTAGGCGACATATTTTGCTTCCATAGTCTGGTGTAGTACTGTTTTGTAAAGGGATCCATGTCGTTGTCGGTATTAGAAAACCCGCCAAAAGTTTTCTCCCGTCTGATTAGCTGGGGCGTGGGGGGAGCCGGAGGGGCCGGGGTCTGTAGGCGGTTGTTGATGTCAGGGTAATATAATCGAGAATCAGTCTGCAGAAAGAAACGTCATCAGAAAACTGTTACTATTATAAGCAACACTTTAAACTTACGCATCCATTGCTTAATCGAGGCAGAATGTAATTTTTCTTCTTGTATACCCAGAATTTCTTTTTCTTGAATGTTTGGTATACAATAGATATATAATTACCATTTTAAAAACATTGTATACTGTCAATTAATGTTGTAAATAATTTATGTTAGTTTGTTAGGACACGGTAAATAATTAATTGCACACGTTAATCATTTGAATTTATGATATTGTTGAACTCAGTACGTAATATTAATTTTCTGCTGAGTTGGTTACTTTAAAGTTTATTGATTTTATCTATACTGACATTCACACGTCAAAACCAAACTCAAACATTTCTAGCACCTTCGCTAAAATAAATCACAGAAACTATTTCATTTGAATAAATACTTTTAGCACCTTCGCAAACAAATAACAATTATTTCTATCCATTATCCCATTATTTCTGACTTTCTCCATTCAATACTGATATTTTTTAAGATCCACCACCGTACATTACGTGTTTCAATGTTCGTATACTAATACTTAATATCAGATGTCTTGCAGTCCACGGTGACCTTTAAAAGTGCACACTCGGAGTATTTTTATTTGATGAATTCCGATAAGAGACAGATTTTGAGATAAGGGGACTTTAACAGGTGCCCGTGGATTGCCAGACAGCCGTTAGGTGTATACAGTAGTAGATAAATACCGGCCGGAGGTAGTCCCCATACTGTAGAAATACAAACAGGGTTTAATAAGCATATCACATTTCTGGAGGTCTAGACATGCAGCACAGTGTACATTTGGCTGACAAATTGTTTATCATGGGTTATTTTGTCAGGGCTGGGGTTTATTGCAGGTTAAGTATGTTTGTTGATGGTGTATAAGTGATGACCTATACTGGAGTAGTTTTTATTTCATACTGTCTATTAAACGCCGGATAAAAGAATTTGCATATAGATAAACAAATATTGCATTGACAAAATGTTAGCTGGGTCTTTCTTTTTTATCAAAATTCTTTGAAATTATCCTGAAAAAATTTTCTTATATCTTTTAACACTACCAAAAGATATAACTTTAAAAAAATGTATAAATAACTATATTTATTATGATTTTTCTTCTGCACATTTAATTGCTCTATTTTGAAGCTCTAGACAAATGCAGCATATTCATGTCTTACATTCATGCGACTAATTTACGCAACAGCAATTAAACAATATCAGTGATATCAACAATGGATGACGTCAAAATGTGTTTATTAGATGTTTGATCACGTGATCATTTTAATTATAGTAACATGCACAACTCACCCTTTGTACATCATCCTGCATATCACGTGAGAAGAAAACAATTAATGTATCTCAAAAAATAACTACTTTCTAAGAGCTTGACATTGATTAGATGGGCCACAATGCTCACCTGAGTCGCCATTGTTCTTTCCTGACAGGACTTTGTAAAAGAATCAAATTCTTATTTGTAAATCAAAGTCTGTTGTTTCAACACTTTTAATAATTTAAATATACGCATATATACTAAGGTCAACTTTCCACCGTCGTATTCTCTCTATCTTTATTTTTCATTTTCATTTTAGTTGTAAGTATAATGTAGAACTTTAACCCTATCGTAGCACCATGATCCACAGGGACCAATATCTGAACAAACTTAGGTCCACTCAAATAAAAAAAATATTTTGTTTTCTTGCTCAGTGGTTTTCGAAATTTTAAAATGACTCCCTGTTTTATTTTTTTTTTTTGTTATCTTTAAGTTATCTCCCCTTGAAAGAGGACTTTTCATATTCAATCTCTCACCAGATGGAGCGCTCAGTGTTGGAGTGAAGCATAAAACGCCCTCTGGTGAGAGATTGTTTCATCTTATGTGATTAATCAATAGAACTGTGTACCAAACTTGACTGCAGTGGTGCTATAGAAGAAGTCGAATGTTTTCAAAGAAAACAATTGACACACGGAAATCAGACACTTTGATCAGAGAAGCTATCTTTAAAAAAATGATTCTTTTATAAGACCTAATTTTATTAATCAAAAAGTGAATGGGATTAGACAACAGGCATGAGTCTTTCCTAAATAAGTTAGCGAAAAAGACCAACTTTCAATAAAAAGTAAACTAATTTGAATAATATATTTTTTTTTCGTTTGTTTCTAGAGAAGAAACTGAATGCAAATGGGCGGTATTTCCCCAGAATGCTGAATCTAAAAACTAATACTCACAGTAATATAAAAACTGAACTAAACTACCCTGAAATGAGACTGTGATCCGTTTTGCTATCTACAGCTTATAAGGCTAATTGTTGCCTACCTGTGTGCCGAGGTTCACCCTGGAGGTGGGTCTGGAGCCCATTACTGTGTTAGACCTTCTGAGGGGCGTGCCTCTTCCCTCCTTCATTGGAGTGTACCTTCCAGAGAACGGCCCGTCACAGGCGGGGGGATACATGACCCCGTCATCGTAATCGTTTGTCTGGTACACGTCAGAGGGGTATCTAAAAAAGAGTTTCAATGACGTTGTTACGTGGTTGACAAGTTTAGAACATAGTACAAGGAACATGATTCCAATTCCATTCGGAAATGGTTGCAGAAGGATTCGGTAATCTGAACCATATCAACAGCCTCCATCGCTTAATATTGACACTATATAGCTTTCAAGATACACCTAAAATTGACGGACAAAAAGGCACCATAATCAAAAAATCGATATGAAAACTTTTAAGTATTTTAAAAGCATGCTGGCACCAGCAAAACAAAAGAGATAATGTTCAAAAACTCATGAGCAACATAATTTAAAAAAAAAAACAAATGGACCTTTTCTAGAAATGCTGCAGATGACAAACGATTGGTAAAGCCAAAAGTATAAAGCTCTAGGCTCTGAACAAATGGTTTACATGTGCTACACAGTTCATGCTAGTCTTTGAACGACAATTTGGCAGAAACCAACCTTCCACAGAAATGTCGGGGCGTCCGCCGTCTGCGGAGAACGATATCGAGGTTAGACGTGTCCAGCCAGACGACATTTCTCGGCGCGCTGTGATGCCGATCCAGTTTCTCTGCTCTCTGCATCCTCGCAAAAGTAGCAGCAGATATTTTGAATAACTCACAGACTATATATGTAACGTGCCATTATTAACGTTCTTGCAAACCAACGCAAAAAGCCCTCTTACTGCCATGACATCCCGTATAAAGTTAAAGTGTTTCTTGCGTATCCACAACAGATAAATTATTCAACATACTTTCAATTTTCTCCAGGGAAATTACGTGTACACTTTATACTAAGGCTTTAACTTTACTAAGAAATGAAGTGCCCATGTTGTCTGGGTAATTACTATCTTGTTTTATGTAATGATTTTTACTGATCGAGATTTTTCTGATTTATTGCAATATTGCGTGTTTCGTCCCTAAAAGGTTTTGTAAACCCTACAAAACTACCTAATAAAATATAGTAATCAATTGATATACCCATATGTGTGTCGTTCGACTCAAGAAAACATTTAAAAAACCGTAGCCTAGCATCGTTTCTGAAAGTGCGGGGGGGGGGGGGGAATTTTTTTTTACAAAAAGTTGACTTATTATAACATTTCCTATACCTCTAAAGTCATTGTAAAAACGAATATTTCTTGAATTAACAAGGTTAAAAATCTATAACCCACTACCAAGAGAGATAACTGTATAATAACTCTTACGTGGAGAGACACATGGCAATTATTCCTCTAAAAAATGTCAAATGATAAGGTCTTTTCTGTAAAATTTTGCTCCACGAGAGTGTGTATTTTAACTTGTTATTTATCATTTTAATTTAATTAATAGGTTAAATTTCTTTGGAAGGAGTAAAGTTTCATATGCGTAAACAGAAGAATTTTGAGTCTTAAAAGATGTCAACAAAAGAACGATGAATCCTAAGATTGAAGAGAGAAGCAATGAGTCTTATGATGAATTTACCCAAAGGAACTTTTAATACACATCAGAGCCCCCCAAAACAAGTACATTGTACAAGGATAACAACTTGATAATCTATTGACAACTGACACTGAATCATTGTATTGGATTAAGCTGCCTATTTGTTTGATTGCTAAACACATTTTGTTGAATAAATCAAAACTATTAACACGAATAAAAAATTGATGCATGGACTGATATTCATATATACTTTTGACTGACTTTGATTTGAAATGACATAAATATTAAATCTCTGAAATATAACGAATTTGTAGGTTTTCCTTGTTGCTTAGATTTGAGACTTTCTTTTGCTTTCTGTATACTAGTAATTCCACACAAAATTTTGCACAAATTTTTTAACTTATGACAAAATTTTATAAAATTTTTCCACTGTACTTGGTAAACATTATTCGGGTTAGCAATTTAAATGTACATGTAAATCTAATGGGAAATATTGCCGATTTCTGAAAAAAAGTTTGCATTATTTATCCTTAAATGGTCTTTGGTTTATTTTTTGTTGAATTTCAAAATTAACTTGTGATTGCTAAGTAGAAGAGTTCAACATTTAAATGGCAGCAGAGCTATACACATTTCTCTGATATAAAGACATATAAATGAGATCAAATAAATTTTCATCACAAGCCCCAGATAATTTTGATATTTAAATTGCAATTTTAAAAATTCAATGACGAATTTCAATTAAATTAAATCTACCTTGCCACCATTCAATCATTTTATAATATATTTATTGAATCTCTCATTTGGCTATTGAAATCAAAGTGTAATTGCATAAAAGCATATTTGTAATTATACCGATTATAGTACCTCAAGCAGAACAGAACAGAGAAAATAAAAACTTTTCTTTTCAAAACTATTATTGACATTAAAATCGAAAGAATTATTATGAAATTGCATAAATTTTTCTTTTTGCACATGAGAAAGTTTTCTTTTATATGCTTCCAATATTTGATCAATCTGATTAGGTTTGAATTGTATGTTGAATATAAGTCAAATCGTACGATGTATCCAAGTAAAAACATACCGCAATTTAAACTTTTTAAGTTAAACTAAAAAACAGAGTTTTTTCTGAGCAGTCTATATTGATACACATGTTCATGCTGCTGGAAAAAAAATATTGAACAATTTTTTGTGTTTTTTAAAAATAATTTTAAAAATATATCGCAATATTCTCGATTGTCATAAGTTACAATTTACCGATATTTCTAAGCACTTGAAAACTTCTCCTTAGAAGATAAAGCAATATATAAATTTATAATTATAAATAATAAACAGCATTAAGCTTTTAGGTAGGAGATAATCCATTATATTCACTCGTTGACACCTGAGGGCGGGACAAAGCCGGTGTGATATTGACACAAGTTTTAAATTCCATGGCTAAATCAATGGTAACCGTCTAGCAGCGGAGTTTAATTTCAAATATCAATGAATGTTTATCATTCCTTCGGATTAGTTATTGAAATCAATCGTTATCTATCGGAGTATTGGAATAGAAATAACAACGAACTGCAATGGGTAGAAAAAGCTATCGGAAGTCATTCGCTCAGATCTGACAGTATACAAATGTATCAAAAACAGCTTAACGAATCAATTGGATGAAAATCAAGCCAAGGGTTCTTTTTTTGTACGTTTCAATTCTTGTAAAAATGATACTTAAATCCAATCAATTCAATCAATTCTTCTGCAAGAAATTAGACACATTGTCATCGTAGAAGTGTTCTATTGCGTAATTTTTTCAGATCAATTTTCCTTTTACTTGAAACTCGATACACGACATTCCCAGACATTAAATCCACAGACCGAACTTCCCCAAAGTCTCTGTATTAGCCCTGAGAAAATTAATAGATTAAAAGCTTAATGATTAAATTAACAGTTTTCTTATAAGACTCTGAACGTGGAAGGAATCGTTATGTGTTGTAGCTGGCTTTCGCGGGCACCTGTAGGTGCTGTCACAGTTACATACAGACGGAATCTGATAGCCGAGACACAAACCTAAGTCTTCTACTTAATAATACTGATTCATTTAAATGATATTTATTTGATAATTATCAGATTAAAATCAAGGTCGTGTGCCAGATACCAACAAACTGACATATTGTCCTTGGATAATTTTATACCAATAGATTTCAATGAATTTGAGAGTTTGACATCAGTAAAATAAAACTTTAAAAGGTGACAGATGAAAATACTGAATATCTTAATTTTAAATCAAAGCGCCAAATAAAATTATTTATACCGACCCTTTCCATTCAAACCCTTATTCTATACTTACACGTCATAACCGTCTAATGAAGTATAAGGCCGTCTTTCCCCGGGCATGTCGATTTTTTTCAAAGTCTAAGCTGCCGTCAAAAAATCATTAATGTCCCAACACTTACATCCAATAAATAAAAACACAGAGGAAGAAACAAGAGAAAGTGCTCGAATTTCCGGGCTACTCGGAGAGAATGGTTACCCTGGTTACGAACCGGAAACGGCACAAATTAGGAGATAAATGGATCCCTTTACACCGTAATCCACAAAGGTTGTAGGCCTGCTTCCAAGGGACTGCAGTTCTTACGATTATACACAAAACAAACACACGACAAAGACTTTAAACCCTGCTATATAAGTAAGGGGTTAGGCAAGAGGTGATTTACAATGCAGTGAAAAGGAACTCTACGACGTGCTCATTTAATAGAAGAATTTTAAAAGTTTAAATTGCTACCAGCTTTAAACGGTTTTATAGATTTTTAAAGATCCATGTTGGGTGTCACTTTCTTATAGTTATATAATGATGTAGGTAAAACGGAAAGGGTGGCTAAATGGATACAGATTTTAAAAGTTTTGTCCAGTTTAATTGAGACCGTTACCCCGTGCACAGTATTAGAGGGGATTTGTCTGTGGAATAAGATTAACGAAAGGGTGTTAAACCTGGCGCACCTGTCACAAAGGGGAATAACTCTATACATCCACATAGTTGTCAATTATTTACGAATTATCAGTTTAAATCAAAATAACACACGTTTTATATTACCTAAAAAATTGAAAAAGTTGAGACATCATATAATTTTTTATAATTTAAAATCAATTTATGGCTTATCCATTAAGATTTTTATTTCTTTAAGAGATCCTTTTACTTCATAGATAAAAATTTTTATGTAGTATAATTAAAACACCATAGCAGGTTATCTATGTATTATCTCAAATCAGAGGAAGATTGCATTCTAAAATATTTTATTGATTCCAGAGAAATCTAAATACTAGTACATGTTCTCTCGATATCTTGCTCTGTTCATTATCCGTGCGGTTCATTGGTTTCATGAGATGGGTTCTGTTTCTTTTAAGGTTATCCGATCCTCAGGTTCTGAAAATCAGGCACTTATAGTAATTGAAAATGCTTACAAAGATGTCTCAAATTCTCATATTAAAATGTATTTAACATCTTTAAATTTAATCATATTATATAGGGAAAATTAGTAAATCTAGAATTATTTTTCAGGAAATGTGATTTGAATTACCAACTGCATATTTTTTAATTGATAATTGATCAAGAAATACATTTTATAATTACTTGTAGGAATTTTGGGAAAAAAGGTTGGTTTCTTTGAATTGTCATTTGATCATAATTCAACTGTAATTTTTTTTATACAACTCAGTATTCCAAAAAACAGGGTAAATGGTACTTTTAAATCATATAACTTACAAAATTCTTGATAATCCAACAAGGAGACATAAAAATTAATTGTATGCCTTTTCTCAGGACTATAAAAACTTTTTTTGTATATTTTTTTAAAAACAAAATTAATTTCTTTAAATAAAGAAGATTATTTTTTGTAAAAAATCACTTCCATATATATTCACTGGTTTAAATCCTTTAATAATTCTTTCCAGCATAAATTTTGATGCTGAAAGTTGCAAATCCATGTGATTTTTAAGCTTTACTGATACTTTTTTTCAAAACTTTGAATAGCATTGAAACTATTATACCTTAGAAGTATACAATAAAGAAAATCCTTGAATGACAACACAAGAAGGGAGCCAATGCCCTCTTTTAAACTTTTATAACGGTTGAATGATTGATGTTAAACTTTTATTTTTTCTTTAAATGTTGATGAGTTTTGGTGGAAAAAACAAAATATTTTGTTCTTTAATGTAACAAATGATATACAGCTTAGATGGTTCCACTATAGAATTGTACATAGAATTTTAGCCACAAATACATTTTTATACAAAATTGGTGTTATGAAAAGAATTTTGTAAAAGATATCGTTCTATTTGGAAAAGTTTGGACTTGATATAAATCAAATTAATTATATATTTAAGCAGCTTTGCAAATCCTATAATTGACATATATTTATAAGAAAAAGGAGATATGGACAGCTTCAAAAAACCATAACATTTTAAGATGAAAATTATGTATGTAGATTGAGTTATATTAAGTTATCACTATTAAGTACAGAACTGCCCATCCCCTTCGATATAGACCATGCCGTTGTGGTGAATGATGAGTGAATGATTAACAAAAAAAAATTGCAAAACAGACGAGATATGAACGAGACATGAACGAGATATGAACGAGATATGATCGAGATATCCCTGTGTTACAAACTGGGTAAAAAAAAATGAAGCAGCCGTTATCTTCAGAAAAAAATCAGAGGGGGATTATATACATGTAGAAATTAATAATTATCGAGCGAATTAAAAAAAAAAATTCACAGTAACTTAAAAAAAACGGATTAGACCAACAGAAGGAGGGTATTTGAAGAGGTGGATTGGCCAAATCCGAGGAAAAAGAATGCCATAGGGTAGAGCTATTATACAGAACATGGACTTTCCCTGGGATCTGCAGGTCTGATGCCCATTATACTCGGGGAAAGGGCGTAGGATGAAGGGTTCCTATTGATTATTATTATTTTAATCAACTCCACTGTATTTACGATTTAGTATAGCAAGCTCTCTTTTCCCTTTCAATTCATGACTTTTTATGAACTCTCCCCCAAAAAGAATAATTCAAATAGCTGGTACAAGAGCGATAACTGAGATTTAACTTTCACCTCGAATGGCCTCTAAATGCTGTTATGAAAATCAAACATTCTTGTTATATTTAAATAAATTTACTGTTTGCTGTAGCTTGTATATTTAAGAAAAAATCAAAAATAATTTTGAGCGTTATGTGGACCAGTTGAAATATACATGACCTACATTCAAAGATGGTAAAACATGTTGAATACCCTCCGATGCCCGCTAGTGATTAGAACCCTATAGAGATATAACAGGTATTTATGGTTGCACCTGAATGACAAAGCAGTCTGACGTGAATTACACGTGTTAAAAGTTCCATTCATACGGACCATTGTCTTGTTTATCAATCTCAGTAATGAATGGAGATTGTAGAGTGATGACAGATCGACCAAGTCCAGCATGAGGTGTGCATATCGAGGGTACATTACCTATACCTATATCATACAGATCGTGTATAGGCGTGGTGTTGTGAATGGGTACATTGTAACTGTTATTTCCCGACCTTCTTTTAAAGAAAATCAAAAAATCTACCAAAATTAAGGTAGAAACGATGTTTTATTTTATTTTCTTAAAACAAAGGTAGAGGACTGCATGGGATTAATCGCAATCATTGTTTGAACTTTAAGGGTTTTTTTTTTAATCTTCGTGTTCTTCAAAAGTAATTTTAACTTTAGCATGGGTCAATTTTTTGTTTTAATCTTATCATTATAGATTTTATGCAGCATTCAACTCGCTAACAAGACATGTTTCTGTACTGCGTTCAAGACACCTTAAAGATGATGAAAGATATAAAATGAAACAGATAAATATTACAGAGAAATTAATTTCCCGTAGACAGGTTCCCCTTATACCTGGTGAGAAATTAATTTCCCGTAGACAGGTGTCCCTTACCTTGTGGCCCCGTAGATTGGGGGAAGACTGAGTTCCGTTTTGTGCATCCTCCTGTTTTCTCCCAGGTTCTCGTTTCTAGGCACTTCTATGTGACGACGGGGCGATTCCTTCAATCTGTCAACAGTTTCTTTAAAAAACTCTTTGTTCGGAAGCTTGTAGACTGAATTGTAATTTATCTAATGATCGGAGGAGATTACTAGAGACTAAGAAATGACGAATGAACCGCTAACCCTACAGCGCTGACAGAACGGGATTCGGCAAACACCGTGTGTTTTACGCCGAGGATTTTAATCTCAATATTGTTTGCTTTGCAACTTTTTATGCAAAGTGTACTGGAATGGATTATCTTAATTAAACAGTTTTAAAATGAAAAGGGATTAATAGTTGGAATGATATAATTAGGCACTTACCAATAAAATGGATTCGTCTCTTTCCTATCGAGAAATACTTTTACCAGAAAGCTTGACGATATTTGGAAACTCCTCAAAATTCGAAATCTGCATGCATTCTAAACTTGAGTAACTTTGAAGATTTATATATACTGAGAAGTAGCACACCTTTAATGTGTAAAGAAAGCATTTGTCTTTCGTCTGCATGCATTGAGACAGTTGAATTATTTACCCATATTCTATTACAATGTACATCTACGACGAGTAATAGATATGAAGATAAAGACACGTGTCCTCTGTTAATAACTTGATCTTTAATGCCACATCGGGGAGGACTCTCTCTCTCTCTCTCTCTCTCTCTCTCTCTTTCTTTCTATCTCTCTCAGACTTAAAGGGAACTTACTCTCTAATAACAGAGATGACTTTCAATATGTAAGTAACCCTATTTTTACTAATAGTTTACTTTTCTGTAATATAAATTCGATCGAATTACACACCTGACTTTTCAAATTGTTTTGTAATATTTGACCAACAAAAATCCTATTCAGTTTTTAAACCTTACAAAATTGAATACAGACAATTTTAAAGAAACTTTAATGTTTCAAGTACCATTTTAGAATTTTTTTATTGGTACTACTAGTATATACATTTTTCCTATAAAAAAAATATATGCGCCAATTTCTCGTGGAATTCTGATGAGCAAGCTAATATGATCCTGTGAGCTATTGATTTATCCTATGTATAGAATACTGTAGAAAACTTAGCTATTGCATGTCTGTGTCCCCTTAATCAAAACGTAGTAGCTCTCCGAATATTATACTGGTAATTGACAGACCGGAGAGCTATGTACAGTGCTACCCATTGAAAAAACTGACAAAGTGTATTTATTGCGCACGAAAAAGTGCGCTCTTTCTCGATTTATTTCTCCATGATTTTAAAACAGTTCCTCAGAATAGTACTAAGCATGTGTTTCTAACGTATTCTTTGGTTGTTTCCACAATAAAACATTCCTTATAATTGTTGTTAATAGCGCTTCGTAACTAAAATTGAGATCATCGAAAATTTCTTCTATTAACTAGTATTCTGTCATGTTAGTTTGCAAGATAATTCGGTCGAATGAGCTTCGTGCAGATGTCAACAACAAGAAAACCTTATAACAGGGTAAGGATATTTTAAATTTAGTTTTTTTTTTTTTTTTTTTTTTTTTTTTTGCTATTGAGGTAAGAATTTGGAAGAATTAATCCAGAATTAAGCACAACTTTTTGTGAGAAATTAATAAATATACAGTTTTTCTAAGGGTGGAGCTGTAGCTCTCCGGTCTCTCAATATATAATTATACAGTTCTGCAGCTATAAAGATAATTTTGGTAGTTGAGAGT